CTGGTCCAGATACCCAGCTGCTACTAACTCTTCCAGATGCTGTCTCAACGGCATGCAATTCTCAGTGCGGTGCCCTTTTTCCTTATAGAAGGTGCACCGAGATCTTTCGTCATAGTCCTTTTGTGCCTCTCCTAATTTAGCTGGCCATCTGACGAAAGGTTCATCGCATATCTCACTAAGAATCCGATAGATCAGTTTTTTGAACACCGTGGTAGTGGCAGTGTGGTGTCTCAACCACCTTTTATCATGGTCCTCTCCGTTGTCCCGCCTGCCTCGCCCGTTTCTACTTGGACGTTCTACCGCGTTGACTTTTGCCGAAGTCTTTTTATCTGGTATTGCGGTTGTACCAGACTTTATTTTAGCACGGGCGCCATCCTCCTCCACCCGAATGTGTTGGTGTACCCTCTCCATTAAGGCTTCCATTGTGAGGGAGGGCGTCATGGTAATTGAGTCCCTCAGCCTGTTTCCGACTGCAAGACCTCTTTTCTATTGCGCGATGGCAAGATTTGTGGGGCAATCTCCTATCTGGTTAAAGGTCTCCCAATAACGACTGTTGTAGGATCTCAACGTCTCCTTGTCGGCCATGTCAATGGAGAGCAGCTGATCGATCTCTACTGGCATCTTAGTGTTTGTTTTGAACCTTGTCACGAATGCTTCTGCCAATTGCGCCCAGGAGGCTATGCTGCCTTCTGGTAGCCTTTCGAACCAAGTTAAACCTAGGTCGCCAAGGCTGGATGGGAATATGATGCACATCAAAGCCTCGTTTTGCCGTTATGCTGCCATAACCTGGTGAAAATGGCTAAGGTGCGTGTAAGGGTCTGTCTTCCCCTCATACGTGGTGAATTTGGGCTAAAGGAAGCCTGAAAGTAGGGGCGCGTTCTCAATTGCTGGAACGAACAGCGAGGTCTGCAGCCTTGCTAATGCTTTGTCTGTTGGTTCGTAAGCAAGACGCGGTATGGGCATTCCCACCTCGACGCTTCCATGCGTCCAAGGAGCCAACCGCTCAAGGGCTGAAACTCTGCGAGGGTCGCGTGCCCTGGTATCCTCCTTCCGTCGTGCCCTTTCTTCAAGCACAGTCCGTAAGTCGGATGATCTAGGCAACTCCGTTTGCCTGGATGATGTCTGGTGCGTACGTGAGGGCCGATAGGTGTTTCCCTCAGTGTAAGACCTCAATGTTCTCGTTCTCTCAGACTTGGAGTAACAAGTTCTGGAAGTCCTTGATTGAGTGTCGCCTGTTCTGAGGCTCCTACTCTCTGCTTGCGATGGCGTGGTATGCCTACCACAATCTTCTGAATGGCGAGGGGGCGTGTTGCTTTTGTGCCCCTCTCATGTCGCCACTCATTTCCCTTTGATCTGGCATTTCATAGCCTCCATGTCCGAAGACATCTTCCTTATTAACTCGTCTTGTTCCTTCACCCGATCCTCCAGAACTTGAGGATCGATCCTCCGCCTCTGTCTTTCTGGACTTTGAGAGCGACGGGGGCTGTTAGTCCGCCTCCCTCTTGCATTCCTTTGGGGGTTCTATCATTGGGGCTCTAAATCCACCATGGAAGAGATAAAAGGAAAACCTTCGCACTTCCCTCCCCCCTCTAGGGTTTGTCCGTCGATGGCGGACTACTGCAAATCTTCATTGTGCGCCATTGCTTTCAACTAGCAAGAAAAACTTGATCAAGAGGTTTTGTTCATTCTGGTCTTCCCACAGACGGCGCCAATTGTACGAGTAAGAAATAATCTTCTCATATAATCCTATTGATCAAGTCTGCGTTCCTCCAAACGTCGTTGCTTTACTCTTTGAAAACACAAATGTGAGCTAGCCGGCGGGTGTGTGCCGGATACCCCTCCGATGCCTAAGTCAGCAAAATAGACAAATAGACAAAAGATCTGTGTATTCGAGAGTCAAAGTTGTGTTACCTCTCCATAGGTGATGTTATGAGCTTTTATAAGTTCCGCGTGGCATAATCCTAGTAGAACTCTTATTCCTCCATCCAGAGTCCTCCTAGGAATCACACTCCTAAAAGATAATGATTATCCTTCAACACCCCCCTCACTGCTTAAACCAAGTGAGATGGTTTTACTTCGGTAGTATGACAAAACGACCGGGATAAAATAGCCATGCTAACTAGCTGAAATGACCGAGCTCTAGCTAGCTCGGTTCTCTCCTCTGTTACTTGTACTTCGGTTTCACCTATTGAGACCGTGCTATCCATAGTGTGCCTAGACCAAGCTATTCAACAGCAAGGTCTTGAGAAAAGGCCCAAAATACCTCGGCTCAATATGGTTTGACTGAACTAACTGTCGCCTCTCTGACCATGCCGACCGAGCTAACTACAAAGCTCTTTTGGACCGGGCTAACTTCAAGGCCCTTTTACTCAGTCCTTAGTGGCCCACAGAATGGCCCATTACCCAACTCAGCCCAATTTACATATAAATTATCCTCTCAAATATAATTATATCAAAATTATAAAATTAATTATATTTTCTCAAAACTTCCAAAGAAGTTAGTATACTTTATTCAAAAAAATTACAAAAGGATAGGGGGCGCAACCCCACAATGTTTGAGTTGCATCTCATCTCAAAATGAGTTGCACCTCCCATATTTTATTATAAAAAAAAAAAAATTGGGTCCTACATCGTGAATTGTAATTCCCCTAATAAAAAGAGCAGTTTTTTTTTGGAAAATTTATTTGAAAATATCCATTCAGTACTTATATTCTAATTAGATCATAACATATTCTTATATTTTAATAAGTTTTATTATTTAGATATTTGATCTATCAAATGTTATCATATTTAAAGTATTTCATAAATAATTTTACCATTACAAATATCTTTTAAACCATTAACAACTTGGTGTGCACAATTTTGTACTTATTATTTATTGAACTTTATAAATTCATAATTTTTGTTGTACTTATTTTTTTTTTTTTTTGGGGGGGGGGGAAATTTTTATTTTTGAAACCTAATTAACAAGATCTATAAAATAAAATCTCACTTGAATATGTAATTTTATAAAACAAAAATAAATAAATAAATTTGATAGCGTAAATGTTTCATGATAAATAAATTTGACAGCGTGAATGTTCACATCATGAAACATTCACACTATCAATGTAAACATTAATAATTCTTCATCTTATTATTATTAGGGATATTTTGATAACTATGTCACCCATAAAATTTGTTAGAATATAAGAAAATAATTTGGGTAAATTACACTAACAACTCTTAAAGTTTCTATTTAATACAGATTCCCCCTTCACGTTTGAAAAATTACATTCCCCTCCCTGAGGTTTGTAATCTCATTACAAATTACCCTATAGATTGCTAATGTAATGCCCCTAAAATTTTTTAAATCACCATTTTGCCATTTTTCCTACAATTTCTTCTTCTTATCATCATGACTACATTCTATAACTTTTCATCATTAAACTCTATTTGAATATATTCTTATTGAGTGATAGTATAAAAATATAAATTTTATATAAAATTTTCAAACACAATGATATAGTCTAATGGTAACCTTTCACTTTAAAACAAAACACTCATAAACATGATTTATATTTACAACAATATCACTATCACAACATTTTTATGATATTTTTTGTATAAATTATATATATGAATATAATTTTTTTTATTTATTTCTACCATCATTTTTCTTTCTTGTCTATTCACCCACATTTATTACAGTATTACTAAACACCATCATTCACATTTATTATAGTATTACTGAATTTTTGTATTTCTATATATTTTTTTTGTATTTGGTGAATTTAAAAAAATACAAATTATTATACTTCTTAAGTATATCTAAATTAGATGTATCAAGAAAATAAAAATTAAAAAATGCTTAAAATACTAAAAAAGATTCATTAAAAATAATTAAAAATAAACATGAAAAAGTAAAAAAAAAAAATCAATTTTTTGTATGACTTAAACCAAAGAAGGTAATTGTTATTTATCTTGAAATGATATGAACAAAATATCAGTATTGTTTTATTATTTTATACGTATAAAGGCTAAGAGGCAAATGTGACATTTCAATTTGGTAGGTGGTAAGTGTAATTTTTCAAACCTAATGGGGAATTTGTATTGAACAGAAATCTCAGGGGGTGTCGATGTAATTTACCCAAATAGTTTAGAATAAGTAAAATATAAGTAGGTGAAGAGATATTTATAAATAAATGCCCCTTTTTTTAGAGGGATTTATTAGGAAATCTTTTTTCTAATACTTATATCCCAATTAGTCCATAACATATTCTTGTATTCTAATAAGTCATATTATTTGGACATTTGATTCACTAAATTCTAATTCTTATATTTAAAATATTTTATGAACAATTTTATTCTTACAAATATTTTTTGAATGCTTAGCAATTTGGTGTAATAAATATGGAACATTCGCACTGTTAATGTGAATATTATTATTATGGATATTTTTGTAACTATGTCACCTATAGGACTTATTGAAATATAAAAAACTAGGTGAAGCATAAGTAAGTGAAGAAGAATTTATGAATAAATACACTCTTTTTTTTTCTCTAGTGAATTTTTTTAATATTTTAATAAATTTTTTATTTTATTTTTAGATTTTAGTTGTACATCATTTAGATGCACCAACTACAATATATAAGGGTTTTAAAAACCAAATTTTTATCTTCAAAAGTGAAAATTTTGATTGAATAAATATTTGGAGAGCAATTATTTTGTCGCAATGATAATTGCTAAAAGGTCGTCCTAACAAGTTATTATAAAAAAAAAAAGGCTTTTAGCAATTAATTTTTAAAATGTCGCTAATAAATGCTGAACAAAAAAATTTGGTCAAAAAAGATAATGATTCATCATTAAATGTCTAATTTTGTCCCTAAAAATATAATAATGATATTTTTTTACAATAAAAATATTTTGTCTCTAAAAAAGTGTTTTTATCTCTAATTTTTTTTCTTAAACCATAATTTATTTTAGGGATTTAAAAAGTAAAAAAAATCACTAAAGATAAATAACAATAAACCGGCACATTGGATAATAATCTAAGTTCAGCAAAAGAAGAAGAAAAAAATCTACCCTTTATATATTGCCTACAAAGAGTGCTCATCACTATAATAATTAAATCTTATTCCATACATATAAAGGGTAGATTTTTATGGGGAAAATAGTAGCAACGATGCTACACTTATAATATTTTTATATCACATTATGTTTGTCATCGAACTTCTTATTGAATATATATCCGCAGTACAGTGTTGATCAGGAAAATGCAGCGAGTTTGGGTTTGGGAGGGTTAACCAAACAAATGTCAAGAAGATCATCCACAGAAGTATATTTGTAGTCTGGATAGAGCTTGGAGGCCTCCAAGTCTTCCTCTGTTAGCTCAAAGCTCAACTGATCTCCTTTGATGAATATGTTGTGTAGGATAGCCACTGGTATGTTGTCTGGATATGGTAAAGCTGCAAATAATAACCACCCCAATAAAAATCAGTAGTAATAAGGTAACTTACACTTTTAGTCCTTATATATTATCTTTTGTGTCATTTTGATTCTTATAGTAATAATTGGCTGAATTTTGATATTACATTTTATATTTTGTGTTGATTTTAGTCCAATTGATAATTGTTAAAATAATCACTGACTTGATCAAATTTATAATTTTACTTATAAAAATATGACATATGTCGTTCATTTGTGTATTTTCACAAAAAAAAAGTAGTGATTGTATTCAATTAGACCAAATTAGCACGAGAGTTACAAATTCAGGGTTAAAACCGAGTCAAATGAAATTACAACGACTAAATATAGGGACTATCGATATATTTTATCCTAATAATAAAGATTGTGCTAATGACAGTTTAATGAAATGAAAATTTAAATAAAAAAAGGTTTATTATACTAATAGTATACAAAATATGTAATAATATACAAAACATGCGATCTGTTACACTTTGATCCCTAATATCAATATAATTTAAACAGTAACAGAATGTGTTGGGCTTTTGTGACATTTTGGGCTTTCAAACAGTAACTTGTAGTTGAATACACAACATGGGTTGTGAAATAGTAACAGAAAGGGCAAATTACATATACACCCCTCGAGGTTTGGCTAAATTACAGATACCCCCTGAGGTTTCGGAAATTACATCCCGCCCCCTGAGGTTTGTATTTTCATAACAATTTGCCCCCTGAGGTTTATATTTCATAACAAATTACCCCCTAAAATTAGTATGTCTAATTTATTAGTACTCTCTATTAAATTATTTAAATATATAATTCAATCTTAATACGTTCTATATTTTTTCATAAATTATATCCTTAAATAATATAATATTTTAATTTTATAGTACACCCAAATAATAAAGTCACTATTTTCGGAGTTACAAAGCCAAACATAGTCAGCTTGTTTGGTTGTCTAGCGTCGAACAAGATTGTTTTGTTTGCACTTTTAAATTCGAACAAAGTGAATTTGTTTGGATCTGAAAGCCTGAACAGCATTGACATAAAACAGACTGAATATTCATTTTTACATTGAAAAAAAAACACATAAATCAATAATTGTACTTTGATATTTATGTGAATACTTACCTTCTCTTTGATAGATTGCTTCAAAAAAAAAAAAAATTGATTATTATTCTCATCCATTATTTGATTTTGTTCAATTTTTTTCCTATTTGAAAGTAACAATACAATAAGAAATAATGAAGTTGATGATAATGGTGAGTTTTGGTGAAGTAAATTGGAGTTTTGGAGTGAAGAAGAAGAACAAGAGAAAATAAGTTGAACTTGATAAAGAAAATGAAGAGACTTGAATATGAAGAACACTATTAGTGATTAGGATGTATCATGAAAAAAATAATATTTTATTTTAAGATTTAATATGTGTTGTCCTTATTAGTAAATTTACATTAGAGCATACTAGTAATTAAAATTTCAAAATTTTAGTTGAGCGTACTGAGTTACTTTTTGGGTGCAAATAGAATTTCCCATTGGGTGGGTATCGACACATTGGATTGCCAGTCTATCCATCTCAATCTTATTTTTTTAGGATTTCAAAATAGTATTTTTAACTCGTAAAGCCAGGTTAGACCAATATTTTAAATCTATTAAATTAATGGGTTAGACTTGGAATTCACATCTATAACTCAGCCCGCTAGTATATTTATTTTATTTTATTATTTATTTATTTTATACATTAGAAAATATACAAACCACTTACTGCAGATTTTATTTACTTGAAATTCATAATCATTTCTAAGAGTTGCTAAAAACATTTCAAAGAACTGATTGTGATGTGTATTATTTATTTTGTTGTCCAATATGTTGTTTAGTCCTAATTATTTGTTTAGAAACTAGTTTGTTTGTATTTTTTTTAAAAACAACCCATATACCTATAGAGACTTGATGGACGAGTTTCAGAATTATATTTTATAGTAAGGTTGGGTTTTGATTGATTATATAGGCTTGATAGTTAGACTGGGTTTTTTTGACAGACACAAAATCTATTATTAATTGAGCAATCTCGGCTCGGCCCGGCCGGCCTCGCAATCTTCACCCGTAGGGATAGGGAAAATAAATAATACTATGGACCTCATTTTTTAAGTACCATAACTTATGGTATGAGATTATATATTTAATAAAATTATTTGCGTTTAACTTTGTGTAATTTTTGGTGAAGCTTATAAAATGTATTAGGATCTTGCTAACCAACATTCTTGAAGCATAACCAAATAATAATGATAATAAAAGCCACAAGGCACTTTCTTACTAATTTTAAAATATTTTTACATTTTTAATATTAACAATATCTCAAGAACTCTTATAATTTGAAAAATTACAAATACTTCATTGTCAGAATTTTTTATTTAATAGAATTAACTTTTTTTTAGAAGGTAATAGAATTAACTAAAAAATGAAATTCCTAATTACTTTCAAAATTATTTGAATTATTAATTAAAATATATTTTTGACATTATTAAAAACTATTAATTAACTTAATAATTTGTAAATAAAAAGGGAAATAAAATTCCTATACAATAATAAAATTATTTGAATTATTAATTAAAATATATTTTTGACATTATTAAAAACTATTAATTAACTTAATAATTTGTAAATAAAAAGGGATCATATGTTATGAAATTAAAAATTTCTAGGAGCATGATATAATTTCTTAAACTATATAAAACAATTTATATTTTAAACCAATCTTACCGAATATATTTGTAATTTAAAAATAAATAAATAAATAAAGTTATCAAATAGAGCACTTACTTTCGGAAAGTTTGACGATAGAGTCCTCTGATACGTAGGTCCTTTTGAAAGAACGTCCAGTTTTTTTTTCCCAAGAAGAGAGCAAATCCAATTGAGAGACAATGTTAAGGTGGGGCCTATAGAAAATGACTCGATTGCAAGCCCTTGGATCTGTGGATGCTTTTATTGTGTACGCCGCGACATCTTCCTCGTAATTTAACACAGCTGCACACCAAATCCCAAACACCTTACATAATTCCCATAAAATTCCTTCTTTTTAAAAAAAAAAAAAAAATGATTTGCAGACACAAGTCTTTTACCAAAAATAAAATAAAATAAAAATGATAATATTTTTTTAAAAGCAATAATAATTTATTTTAATAGATTTTTTAGGCCAAGTTTGGTAACTCTCAAAAAAGACAAAAAATCAAAAAATTACTCAAAAAGTTATCACTATTTATAAAAAAAATATAAAAAAATTAATATATATAATGTTAAATACAAATCAGCCGACACACGGCAGCCTATGTACAGACATCAAAGCATAGGAGTGTCGGTCCGTCGCAGGGTAGAGAAGACCAGCCAATATTAAAAGGATCTTCTAGTGTTGTAATATATTTTTTTTATTAACTGAATACAATCATCTCACATGAATGTAGGGTATTAATTTTTGTACTCTTAAACTTTTTCACTGCAATATTAATGTAAATATGTAATAGAAACACTTACCCTTGGCTTCACCAGTGCCATAGATGGTAACTTGATCATGGTTTTCACGAGGATGGAGTAAGTAATCAACAAAATAAGCAGCAAATGAGTTTGCAGAAACATAAGTATGTGGTATCCCAGCTGCCTCTGTTGCCCTTCTTATCTTCTTCTTGTTATCAAGCAGTGCTTGGAAGGGTGGCAGCCCGCTTACCCTATCAACATCATTTCCAAATTCTGATGGGACAAATCTCTGCTATATCATATGCACAAAAACAATACTAAAAAAAATTAAATTCATACCACATTATAAATTTTTTGACTATCAATTTTTTAAAAGTTTAAACTGTTCTATTCAGTTTGATTCACCTAATGAGAAAAAATAGAATAAAATGGTAATTTTTTAGACTCTTTAATAAAATGATCATTCTATCATAATGATAACTGATAATTTCATTTATAATATATTTTTTCTTATTTTTTAGTCAACCAAACTAATATGAGAATGAATATTTTGATGGAAATTATTCTATTTCACTGAGTTGAATTCAAGTTCACTTTGTAAAACTTTGTGTGTAGATCATTTATGCAAAAATTAGATTGATTATCACATTTGTCTTAAAAATAAAAATAAAAAATTGAGAATTTGATTTTAAAAACATATCACAAGTACAAAATTACCAAAATGCCCTTATTCCAACACTCACATATGGCGGACTCTGCTCCATAAACAAGCAAAACACATGCAAAAATTATAATAATCAGGTAAGCGGTAAGATTCGAACAAGATCTGGTGCATATAACAACTCATGCAGAAATAAGATGAAAAAACACATTTGTCAAAAAAAAAAAAAAAAAAATCCATATAACAAGAGAAAATCAATGACCTTGATATTGCCAGCCTCTTTGATAGCATCTATAATTCTGAGTTGTAGAAGATGTTGAGGCACTGCAAGTGTAGAGATCACTACATCAACCTGTCGAAGTACTGCTACCAGCTTCTCGTGATCATCTAGTTCCCCCTGCACCCTTCCACATGCAAATTTAAACAACCATTCATAGTATATAGCACTATTATTATTACAATATAATCGTGTAGTTCAATTTTATTCACACACTTGATGAAATGTGAGTGAAGAAAAACATATATTTTAATTAGTTGAAAATTGTGGAGCTCATATGTTTAGGTGGGAACAGTATACTTTTTGGATATAAAACTCATAATTTTGAATGAATGAGATAATCTGTATTGTTCACATATACTGTGTTAGTATGCGAATAAATTTATCATCACTAATGCATGGTTTGGATTGAAGGTTTTTGTGAATAAAGAAAAGAAATTAAAAGTGAAAAAATTGTCATCACTCTGCCTCTACTTATTTTAACTCCCTTGCAATTATTTGATTATATTTTGAGATTCTCATATTTTAATATTTTTACATGCTTAAACAACTTTGAGTGAATGCAGACATGAAAACATATTCGGGATAAAAAAATTTTAACCGTGAAAAATGACAATAGTCGTTTTTTTTTTTTTTCTTTTTTTTCTCACCTGAACCATAATTGTCATTACATAAGTATGGAGAAAGAGAGAGAAACCGAGAGAGAGAGAGAGAGAGAGAGAGTAATAATACATGGAAAAGAGTGACTCCAAGGGATTGGAAATGATGATGGAGTTGGAGCTTGGAAGGATCAGAATTAGGTTTGATTGGGCGAAGGTAAGCATAAGTTGGATGGCCCATAGAAAGGCTAGCCCTCAACATGTAGTTACCAAGGTAACCACTTCCCCCAAATATCAATATCTTGCTCTTTCCTTCTTCTCTCCCCATTGGTTATTATTGTTATATGCCTTCTCTTCTCTAATTCCTACTTCTTTCTTCCGAATCTTTGCTGCATAGCGCCTTTTTATATTAAAAAAACGGATAAATTAAACTAACGGTCCCTATAGTTTGAGATTTTTGTTATTTTGGTCATTAATTTTTTAATTGTGACATATTTGACCCTAAATTTTGAATCTTGTTCCAAATAAGGACAATTGAAGATACCATTGCATAATTTCACGGGCAAAATTGTTAATTTGATAAAATATAAACTAATTTAATAAAAATAAATGTCAAAAAAATATTTTTGAATTTTTAAAAATTATTTCTATACACTAAAGATAAAATTATGTAAAATTAATATATCTTTTACACATTTATTTATTTATTTATTTTACCAAATTAATTTTTATTATGTATTTGGATGATAATCACGTAATGAGTGATTGTTTTTATTTTCATTAAATTAGTTTCTAATTTTTCAAAAGTCAAATATGGCGACAACTTTGATATCATTATTAAATCAATCCATTAAATCAAAAAATTCAAAACTAAAAACGTTTTATATATTAAATATATCGATTACACATTAAAATTTAGCAACCACCCATTATATAATTATCATCCAAACACATAATAAAAATTAATTTGGTATAATAAATAAATAAATAAATGTTTAAAAAATTTATTAATTTTGCATAATTTTATCTTTTGTGGGTACAAATAATTTTTTTTAATTTAAAAAAATTTTTGACATTTATTTTTATCAAATTAGTTTATATTTTATCAAATTAACGACTTTGTCCTTGAAATTAAGAAATAATATTTTTAATTGTCCTTATTTGGAACAAGATTCAAAATTCATGATCAAATGTGTTACAATTGAAAAGTCAGGGACCAAAATGACAAGAGTCCCAAACTATAGAGACTATTAATGTAATTCACCTAAAAAAAAAAAAAAAAGATGATGTCTTGGCTGGATGGTCTATCAACCAAACAAAATATAAAAACTAATTAATAAAAAAAGGTAAATTATACTGATATTTTTTAAAATTTGAAAAAAATACAATATGCTCTACAAGTTTAGCATAATTGTTCTAGACTCTCTTAAGGTTTAATTCATATAGCACTAGACCCTTTTTTCATTAAAATTTATATTTTACTTTGTATATCTTTATGTTTATATCATCTGCATTAGTTTTGATCTTTTTAACCTTACTAAAAGTGAGGTCATGAGTGTAAACTTATTATATTTTTTTCAAACCTTAAGAAATGTCTGTTTAATTTATCCGGAAAAAAATAATCATATTTTTATGGGAGCTTTTTTGATAGATTCTTTTTTAAGAGTTTTATTCCATCCAACCTATGTTCTTTTTTATTATTCTATTAGATTCTATTTGAAGTAAGAAGAGCAAAACACTCTCAATCTCTCTTGCCCCCTATTAATGTTGATATTTAATGTTGATTGTCATTATATTTTGGTAGTTCTCATGCATCAGGATGTTGACTGTCATTATATTCATATTAATTTGAAATGAATTTTTATCATTGTATTGTCAATTATATAATGTAAATATTCACATCATTATATTCATATTAACTTGAAGTGATTTTTTCATACTAAAGCATACGAATGTGAACGTTCACATCACTACATTAGATAAGAGAAAATGTTCACATATCACGAACGTTCACATCACTACATATTGTGAATAAGAATGTGTTGTCAATTAAAAATAAGAAGGTTCACGTGTTGTGAACGTTCACATCACTACATTAGATAAGAGAAAATGTTCACATATCACGAACGTTCACATCACTACATATTGTGAATAAGAATGTGTTGTCAATTAAAAATAAGAAGGTTCACGTGTTGTGAACGTTCACATCACTACATTAGATAAGAGAAAATGTTCACATATCACGAACGTTCACATCACTACATATTGTGAATAAGAATGTGTTGTCAATTAAAAATAAGAAGGTTCACGTGTTGTGAACGTTCACATCACTACATTAGATAAGAGAAAATGTTCACATATCACGAACGTTCACATCACTACATATTGTGAATAAGAATGTGTTGTCAATTAAAAATAAGAAGGTTCACGTGTTGTGAACGTTCACATCACTACATTAGATAAGAGAAAATGTTCACATATCACGAACGTTCACATCACTACATATTGTGAATAAGAATGTGTTGTCAATTAAAAATAAGAAGGTTCACGTGTTGTGAACGTTCACATCACTACATTAGATAAGAGAAAATGTTCACATATCACGAACGTTCACATCACTACATATTGTGAATAAGAATGTGTTGTCAATTAAAAATAAGAAGGTTCACGTGTTGTGAACGTTCACATCACTACATTAGATAAGAGAAAATGTTCACATATCACGAACGTTCACATCACTACATATTGTGAATAAGAATGTGTTGTCAATTAAAAATAAGAAGGTTCACGTGTTGTGAACGTTCACATCACTACATTAGATAAGAGAAAATGTTCACATATCACGAACGTTCACATCACTACATATTGTGAATAAGAATGTGTTGTCAATTAAAAATAAGAAGGTTCACGTGTTGTGAACGTTCACATCACTACATTAGATAAGAGAAAATGTTCACATATCACGAACGTTCACATCACTACATATTGTGAATAAGAATGTGTTGTCAATTAAAAATAAAAAGGTTCACATGTTATGAACGTTCACATCACTACATTAGATCTTCAACAGATTTAAAATTTTAAAAAAATTATTTAAATTTTGAAATTTCATTTATACCATCAAATTGGTTTCGATTGACCAATAACACGAACCCAACAATCACCACAAAAATAACACAAACTATGTATAACCCCCATAATAGGGTTATCTTTTTGTTTTTTTTTTTTTGGTTGATACAACAGAAATAACCATAATAGGGTTATCTCACTCCAAATTCAAAACACACAACACAAACCCCCCCAACATCACACCACAAGATAATGCTACACAATCATTAAATCAAATTTCTTTGTACAAAAGAATTTAGAGACTAAATAGATAAAAATGATAATTTAGGAATGAAATTATAAAATATATATTTAATGACAAATACACTCTTTGAAATTTAATTAAAATACAAATTATCTTCTGTGATTCTGAAAAGTACAAACACCCCCTTATTAGAATTTTTTTTATTTAACAGAATTAACAGAAAAAATAAAATTCCTAACTACTATCCTATATAGCAATAAAATTACCCAAATTGTTAACAAAAATATATTTCTAATATCATTAAAAATTGTTAATTAATTTCATAATTTTTTAATAAAATAATCATTTGTCTTGCGGTTAAAAACTTGAAGGGATAATGTGTAATTTTTAAAATTATAAGAGACAATTTATATTTTAAATAAATATCAAAAGATATATTTATAATAACTTGATAAATTTTTAATAAAAATGATCATTTGTTATACGATTAAAAATTTAAAATAATAAAATATAATTTTTAAAATTACAAAAAATAATGTGTATTTTGGACAAATCTTTTATATTCATATTCAACGATGATTCGTGGACACAGAATTTTCGTCCATGGTGGGCGAGTAGGCCAGTGACTTATCTTACCTTCAACCTTAAAAACCAAAAGCAACTTTTATATTAAACAAGGGCCTGGTTTTCTCCGGTCCAATCTGGGATTAGAGGATGCTGTTGAAAGTATAGGAGCTCATTTGGAGTCTCGTTTCGATAATCTGTACTGTTTAATATGTAAAACTTGTTGAGTATTATATGATTGTAAAAAATCACATTGATCGGATATCGATAGCTATCTCATTGGATTAATTTTCTATCAACTGCCTATTTTTTACTGTCTATTTTTTTATACAAAACTGATTTGATTACATAGCTATCGATATCCGATCAACGTAATATTTTATAGCCATATAATAATCGATGAGTTCTACACATTAAACGGTTCGAATTATTGAAATGACCCAACAACATCCTTCAATCCGATGGAGGATTAGAGAAAATTCAGTGCCTAAAACATAATGAATGAGAATTCTAAATTTTGAATTCTAGAAGAGTTGTAACTGTGCGTCTCATTGTGTAATGTGATGTTTTGACCTTTTTAATTTTTATTAATTTTTTTTTATATTTTTTTTTTGGACTACCACATGACGTAGAGCTTTGATAAGAGCTCTACTATTAGAGATTTGAAACACTTTTCTTGTATTAATATTCATTGATGATTCGTGGACAGAGAATTTTCGTCCATGGTCGGCCAGTGGGCCAGTGACTTATCTTAACTTTGACCTTAAAAATAAAAAAATAAATAAATAAAGTGAATGACGAAGCAAATTGTTAGCGATTTCAAAAAAAAATTTAAAATTTTTTATCAAATATTTTATATAGGTGTAAGACTCACACCATGCGGGTCCTATAAGGGTCTCCCATTTAGAAAAAAATTTAATAAAACTTTTAAATAAAATTTCTAACATTACTCAAGGCGATCCTCTCATGGAAAAAATGAAAGAATTATGTATAATAGGATGACTGAAAATTGAAAATTTCTAAACATACATAAAATGTATATAAAATTTTTCATAAATATTAGGGGTGTATACGGTCCGGATTGGTTCGGTTCTGAGAAAATCTAAGAACTGAATCGATCCTAACGGTTCTGTGATTTTGAGAACCAGACCAGACTGTTACACTTGTAAAATCGGACCAGAACCAAACCGAAAAAACGGTTCGGTTTCGGTTTGATTTACGGTTCCAAAAAGTTTCTATTTACAAGAATAAATTGTTAATATTAGCAAAATAATTACTTAAACTAATTACATTTAACACATGATAAAAACTAATAATATTAAGGTATTACTTAATATTACATATCTATACCATCCTAATATCATTAAAATTATAAAAAATCAATTAATAAAAATAGAACTTCATATTATATATATATATATATGTCTTCAAATTCGGTTCAGTTCGGTTCGGTTCGGTTCGAACCGCGATTTTTTCATAAAATCCATTAACCGAACCGTTTTTACGGTT